CATGCATCCATCCATCCATTTTTTCATATTTTTTATTACTTTACTTACTCTGGTTCTTCAGGAGGATCCGTCATGGCCAGGAAAACACAATTAATAAGTATGGTTAATAGAATAAACATCTCGAAATACTTGAGACAAGTTAAGGATTCGCAACAGATAGATTTAGATTATACAAATACTTGCTACAGTGTTAGCTGTGATGTTGGTGATATCGATAGTGACTATGATAAAGATTATCTAATTAAATATCTGGTAAAGATGATGTTGATGGTGGATGAAGGCGCATAATAATAATGATATTATAATATTTTCATTTGTTAGAGCAGGCTGATTATTCTGGCAGCTTTCGCTGATGCGGGCCTGCTTTCACTCACTCTCACTACCACTACATTTATTATTTTATGCACATAAGACTCAACTCACATGTTGCTTTACGGAGAGAGGAATGGATTACAATATTTAAAACATAGTGGATTTGACTTCCAATAGACCATTTCACAGATCCCGCGGCTCAACCTCAGCCTCGTCAGCGTGTAATATATTCTTTAGAAATTGCCTACAACCTGTGAAATTTTTAAGTGTTTCAATTGTTCGTTGATGCGTAAATTCCTTTCATTACTGCGGACTGYAGTCAAATTCTAAAGAATAATTACACGCTGACGAGGCTGAGGTTGAGTAACGGGATCCGTGAAATGGCCTATTCTGTCAATTGACTTCCAATTGAGTATGAAGTACCATTGTAGTATTGTGACGACGACGACGACAACGAAAAACACATACACAAAAATAGTAACATCAAACAAACATCAAAAAACCATAACAATAATAATTATTTATCATTATCAAAGGATATTGATTTGTTATCAGCTTTAAACATAATCTTCTAATTTTGCTTTCATATCCAAATAAATAAAGAGATTTTGCCTTGTTAAATCTGTAAACTTGGGTTTTGCCGAAACGACTTGCAATGACCAGAAAATACTGCAAGAAAAAACACAAAAATTGTAAATTAAATTGTTAGATTATCTTTGACTGGTTTACTTTCCTGTTTCGTTTGCATTTTGGATGGAAAGACCGAAGAAAAAAGAAAGGAAAGGTTTAAAAAGAAAAAAGGGATGGAAAGAAAGGTGTCAATCAGGGGTGCTTACCATTTCCCCCCGAAAAAAAATGGAACAGCAAATGGTATGTATCATTCCGATCGGAAAGTCCCCAAAAACTCGGTCTTACGATTGAGGTAATCCACTTTTCCCGCTCTTTTTCTTACGGTAGACGCGTGTACCATTTGTTGGAAGTTTAAGTTTCCAATCGAATGGATTGTAATATAAGCACCGCAGTTCAACTTTATTAAATTTAATTTTTCTCAAAGATTAAGAAATGTAAGTCTTAGTATTGTTAGACTCAACGAACGAACATAACATAAACGCTTTTTAGAGTCTAAAAAAAAAAAAAATCGTCTGAACTTTGCATCTTAAAAAGGATAGTATAGTAAGGTGGGTATTTTAAAACAAACATGTTAGATACAGTAACATTGGTTAATGATCTGTTTTTCATAAGTTTTATCTTTTGTGTTCTGGGATTTCGCGATGAAATAAACTAAAGCTTAACGTCGTCATTCGATCGATAGAGTACAGTGATATTAATGTCAATATTTATCTGTTAACGCTTCGGTTCGTGTAAAAGAATCTAACATGTTCGCCGCGCTAAATTTATAGATAGTAAAGTCAATGAGACAGATGGAAACATCGTTCGTCCCTGCTAGAATTAATCAGTGTCTTCACAGCGTCAAGCTGAATTTGTCTCCAAAGTTTTAATAAAGTTGAATGTTTTTATATGATTGCTTTTCAAACTCACACTAAATCAAACAATCTGCCTGCAGATTGCCTCGGATTTTTTTGTGTGTGAATAAATACAAAGTGCTCGATTTTGTTCATAGAGACTTTTAGCCTCACATCTGTGCTTGTAGTTTTCTAAATTTGATCGTAGCAATGTAAATGCTTAGCAAGAAGAACACACGGAATCTTAGTTTGTGTGGAGAAGGATTGGTTCGTGAAATTGCAGGGGGGAAAAAGAAGAAAAAAATAAAAACAAAAGCGATGACATTGTCTGAACACGCTTGACTGATGTAAACGTACTATTTATTCATCAAAACTCCTCAAAAAAGATATGAAAGAAGACCTTTTCAGAGAAGTATTGTCAAGTAAATATACAAACACTAAAATATTGAGTTATTCAGGAATGATGTGCGAAGAATTGTCAACGAATAAAATGTTAGTAACGGCTTATTCGACCTAGTTTCACTCAATGTTTATTTTACAAATTTAATATAGCGATTCTTTGCAATCGGTAAATATGTAATATGTAATATTCTAAGACTTCATGTATAGATTTATATTATAAGTTTTTCCGTTCGCGGAAACAAGACTGATTTGCTGTTAATTTGAGCTTGAAAGTGTGGTTAAAAAACTCTTTACTTACCACCATATTGACTGCTTCAAAGATTTTTAGTGGCCCGGGAATAAAATCTTCTTTTCCTATCCTCGGAGGCTGCCGTAACCATTCGTATTCCGACATCATTAAAGCTTAGAGCATACACACTCACTTAAAACGAGCGAAATTTCTCGATAATCAGCTTTAAAATTCTTTTCCATTCTGTATCCTTTTTCTCTGGCTATAAATTCAAATTTTTTTGTGTGTGTCGTATCAAGGTATTGAATAATTCATAATATTGTTTCATTAGTGTACCAACGAAGGTGTAATCAAGCAAAGTAATTGAGAATTGTAACCATTTGGAAACACAGGCCAGGAATACCAATCCAAGGCAATGGGCAACGCTAAAAATAAAGCTCTTTGATTGGTGAATTTGCAGACCTATCTTTGCACCTGTTCTAGACGTTACAGGCGTTGCTATGACGACGACGAAAACGAGAAAATTCCTTTGTTGGATGTTGAAGAAAAGACAGGAATTCTTTGTATTTAATGTTTTGCTGTTGTTTTTATTGYTGTAATCTTCATCTTGTTGGAATATGGCGGAACTATCAGCGAATGTTCGTCTATCCTGTAATATTTTAGTTGACTCTTAGATGTTTGTTTTTGAATGAAGGGGATGAATTTCTTAATTGATAAAAATGATACAGAGGGTGAACGAAACTGTAAGATATCCAAGAGAAGTCTAGAAATATCTAAGCCATTTTCAATTCAAACATCTATGAAATGTGAAGTGAAATGTTAATCGGTAAAGAAAGAAATACTTTCTAATAGAAGAAACGACATTAGAAGACTTAACCGGGGAAAAAAGAAACGATATCTAAGAGAGGTAATAACAATATGAAGACTAACACGCGGAAAATAGACCCCTTGCATGTGACGTAAAAGCAGCTCAATTTGGAGGACAAAA